ACAAAAACAGGCTACTCTCAGAAGTTGATGTATTAAAAGAAAGAATCGAAGGACTTAACAGTAAGATTGAAGAACTCGAAGGAGAAAAATCAGATTTACTATTCGAGTTAAATAAACTGAAATCCTATCAAAAATGGATTAAGGTCGCTGGAGCAGATGTGCTAGATCATCATTCAATCATGGAAAAGACACATGGAGACATGACCTGCATTGGATATACAGACAAAGGAAAGATGTCAAAATCTCTTGAAGTCAAGTTTGTTAAAGCAACCGATGGAGCATCATCTGCTAAAGCGCATCAAGCCAAAAGAAATCATCAACAACTTGCACATAAGAATCCATATCACTATTATAGATGCTTCAACTGTAATAAGTGGGGACATATACAAAGCCAGTGTACCAAGAGATGGAGTAAACTGATGACATCAAAAAGAAGGTACAAGCAAATCTGGATACCAAAACAATATGCCTCCGTGGCTAACACCTGCTACAGAGTCACTCCAAATCAATGGCTCCTCGACAGCGGATGTTCGCATCATATGACTGGTGACAAAGAAAATCTCATGAACATCAAGACAAATGAACAAGGGAGTGTTCGATTTGGTGGTGGAGCACAACAGGGCAAAATAGTTGGCAGTGGCACACTTAATGTATCTGGACTACCACCTATCAAAAACGTGTGGTTGGTCCAAGGTTTACAAGTAAATCTGCTCAGTATAAGCCAGATATGCGATCAAGGGCTTGAAGTATTTTTTACATAGCAAAAGTGCAGAGTAAGAGACAGAAGCAAATAGGTGGTGCTTGAAGGTGACAAAACAGCAGATAATTGCTACAAAGTAACACCAAATGTACTGTGTTTCTCGGGGAGTGAAAAAGATGCAAAGCTGTGGCATTATCGCCTGGGGCATCTGAACTACAAAGATCTGGTAACTCTATCAAATTTAGGAGCTGTGAGGGGGTTACCAAAAATCATCAGAAAAGAGACCAAAGTATGCGGGCCTTGACAAAAGGGAAAACAAATACGCAAAACTCATCCAGTCAAGGTTTTTCAATCTACAAAATATCCATTGGAGCTGCTGCATATAGATCTTTTTGGACCTATGAAGACAGAGAGTATTGGAGGCAAGAGATTCGTACTCATGGTGGATGATGACTTTACAAGATATACATGGGTATGCTTTCTAAGACACAAGGATGACGCACTATATGCCTTTGCTACACTTTGCAACAAAGTTCAAAACGAGAAACAGTCAAAGATAAAGAAAGTCATACGAGTAAGAAGTGATCACAGGGGGGAATTTGATAGTCAACCTTTCAGCAACTACTGTGATGAACAAGGAATATCTCATGAGTTCTCAGCACCAAAAACCACACAACAAAATGGAGTAGCAGAAAGAAAGAATAGACATGTGCAAGAAATGGCGAGAACAATGCTCCATACACAACGATTACCTGAGAATCTTTGGGCCAAAGCAGTACACATGGCTTGCTACACAATAAACCGTGTGTACATAAGAAATGGAACTCAAGCAACACCGTATGAATTATGGAAAGGGCGAACCCCAAACGTGGGACACTTTCACATTTTTGGAGCAAAATGCTTTATTCTTCGAGATCGAGAGCACGGAAGCAAATTTGATGCAAAAAGTGATGAAGCCATATTTGTGGGATACTCACCAAACAGCAAAGCTTTCAGAGTATTCAATAAACGCACCAGAACTATCATGGAATCCATCAATGTCATAGTGGATGACAAAGCACTATGGAAGGATCACAGTGACACAAGAGATGATGAACCACCTGCTGTTCAGCAAACTGAAGAAAGTTCATCACTATCAAACACAGAAGATCAAACTGATGCAGAACCACAGATAAGCCAACCAGAAGAAGTTCGAGTGCCCACGCACATTCAGAAGAATCACCCTATTGAAAATGTGATTGGAGATCCACATGAAGGCATGCGTACCAGAAAAAAGAAGATTGACTATTTTGAGATGATAAATGCTTTCTACACCTCATCAGTCGAACCCAAAAATGTTAAGGGGGCCTTGACAGATGAAGCATGGATAAACGCAATGCAAGAAGAGCTGGCACAGTTTGAACGAAATCAGGTATGGGAACTCGTTCCAAAACCTGAAGGTGTGAACATTATTGGCACGAAGTGGATATTCCGCAACAAAACTGATGAGGAAGGCAAAGTGATCAGGAACAAAGCAAGGCTAGTGGCTCAGGGATATACACAGGTTGAAGGAGTTGACTTTGAAGAAACCTTTTCACCTGTCGCAAGACTTGAATCAATCCGAATACTCATCAGTATGGCATGCGTCTGGAATATGAAACTATATCAAATGGATGTCAAAACGGCCTTCCTAAATGGATATCTTAAAGAAGATGTATATGTATCCCAACCCAAAGGTTTTGAAGATACAACACATCCAACGCATGTATTCAAACTTCGCAAGGCACTCTATGGCCTGAAACAGGCCCCACGAGCCTGGTATGATAGATTGACAGCATATTTAGCCAAACAAGGGTACACCAGGGGAGGAGTGGACAACACTATGTTCTACATCAGGTACGGTAATGACGTACTGGTAGCTCAGGTTTATGTTGATGACATACTGTTTGGTTCAACCTCAGAAATCCATGTTGGAAAATTTGTTGAAGTCATGGAAAAAGAATTCGAAATGAGCATGATTGGGGAATTGACTTACTTTCTAGGGCTTCAAATCAAGCAGACCAATGATGGAATTTTTATATCCCAAAACAAATATGCGCTGAATATGTTGAAGAAGTTTGATATGAGTGACTGTAAAAGTGTTAGAACACCTTGTCCAACACATGAGAAAATCAGCAGGGATGATAATGGAAAAGATATTGATGCAACCTACTACAGAGGGATCGTTGGAAGTCTGCTGTATCTCACCGCCAGCAGACCTGATATATGCTATAGTGTGGGTGTATGTGCAAGATATCAAGCTAAGCCTAAAGAATCACATATGAAGGCAGTAAAAAGAATATTGAAATATGTTAAGGGCACACATAACATGGGTCTCTGGTATTCTAAAGGTGCTCCAGCACATCTTATGGCATATATTGATGCAGATTGGGCTGGAAACATTGATGATCGCAAAAGTACTTCAGGTGGATGCATTTATTTAGCAGGAAATTTAGTAGCATGGTTTAGTAAAAAGCCGAATTCTGTCTCACTATCTACTGCAGAAGCTGAATACATTGCCGCCGGGAGTTGTTGTGCACAACTTTTGTGGATGAAGTCAATGCTAACAGATTATGGAGTCCAGCATGACACTATTCCCCTGTATTGCGACAACACAAGCACCATAAATATATCCAAAAATCCAGTACTACACTCACGTACAAAGCATATTGATATTAAACACCACTTTATACGTGAGCTAGTGGAAGGAAAAATTTTTGCTCTTGAATACATTCCTACTGAGCATCAGTTAGCTGATATATTTACAAAAGCACTTGAAGGAGAAAGATTTGAGACACTCAGATCCAATTTGGGTCTGTGCGCACCATTTCAATAAACCATGCAAAATAAAATTGAGCACAAATTGTCAGCTAATGTGCTCAATTCTCCTAAAATCTACTGAGTTGGAAAAGAGGCGCTAGCACATGACATCACCCCCTTAATGGGACACTAATGAACGCTTGAGTATTACGAAGCGTCCTCTGCTCCGCCTCGTAAACAGACGCGCCTCCTCATCACTACCAAGATAGAAGATCATCAACAACCCTAATCTCAAGATCTAGCCATCTCTCACTCTCAACCAGATCTGATTAAGCAAACATGGTGATAACGAAGCATGCTCTTCCAAATCGCTGGAGTGGAAAACCTTCGCTCAAAAAACAACTATGGGCGAAACACAGTTGGACTCGCCTACTAGCAGCGAAGAACTCTCCACAATCCAATTCAAAAACTGAAACTTAGAAGGTCGAAGAGAAAGGAGAGAATCCACAAATGCACAATACAGAAGAATAAGAGAAGGAGCACGTTGGCACAAGATCTGAAAAAGTTGAAGATGACATAGAAGATGATGTTCTACACACACCGGCCACAATTCCAGAAACACTCTATCTAGAGTACCCCTCTATACATCACAAGACGAACATGCAAGAAGAAGTGAAGGAAGATCTAATGCAAGAAATCAAAGGTCAGAGATGCTGGAAGTAGATGGTCTCTGCGCCAAAGCAAGGCAAGAGAGGAACAAGAAGCCGCAATTGCTGAAGAAACTGAAGCAAGCCCAGCCACACCAAAAAGGGGAATGAAGCGAAAGGAAGAAGCAAGAATCAGTGAAGAAAAAGTCTCAAAAAGACAAAAAGGCACACACATCGCAGAGGATTCTACACCCAAGAAGTAAGGAAGCAAGAAGAGAAACACCACTGTTGCGCCATCTTCAAAGACAGGAAAGTTTTCTAGACAACTCTTTACTTCATTTATTGCAAGTTCATACATGACTGAGATTGCCAAGAAAACCATTTTGCCACAAAGAAGCATTGATGTTGAGGATTTTGAAGCCAAAACAAATTTAATCCCTGTGCTGAAAAAATGTAATCTGCTCAAATCCATCACTCTGCCTGGATCTTATGTGAGGAAAGTTATTCAAGAATTCTACTGTAATTTGTCTCAGGGTTGTAGCACATTCTCTGACCCTTCTTTTCATAAAGTGTTTGTGAGAGGAAAAACCTTTGAGCTGTCTCCTGCCAAAATTAACAAATTTCTGAACACAAAACCCCCTTCTTCTGAAAAGAATGTGAATGAGCGACAAGTCTGAACTGACCTCACCAATGGTGAGCGTATCTCTCAATCCTCCAAGTCAAAAGTTCCCTGCTCCATCCTTAAAAGTTCTTATGCCATTCTGTTCAGAGTTGCTGCTTACCACTGACTCCCCACTACCCACATGAACACAGTTCCACTCTGCATGGATACACTCATTTACAAAATCAAGCATGAGATACCTGTTAATCTGGGGAAAATCATTTTTGATCAAATAATGAGCTTGGCATCTGAAAGAGCAAAACAGAACTCAAGTTGCCTCCCTTATCCTCTTCTCATTTTTCAATTGCTTAAGTCATAGGGACTTGAAGTCACAAATGAAGAGGAACCTACCCCTCCACTGCTTCAAGTTGACTTAAGGCATTTTGAAGGGAAACATCATAATGACATGGTGCAAGTTGAAGACCAAAAGGCAGCCCCAGCATTTCTCCAGTCAGTTTTCTGCATTCATTAGGGCTGAAATCAAACTCTTGCAAGAGAAAATTGACAAGCACAAGGAGATGATCAAGGGAGCTGAAGTGAAGAAGAAGAAATGGGCCATTATTCTCTCTTCACTAGATGCCACTCAAAAGGAAGCTGCACAAACTAGCACAGTGAATGTGATGAGGATACTGAAGAAGGAGGGGAAAGCTCAAACAAAGAAGAGGATGATCTAGAAGATGAGGAGTCAGATTTTGAAGTTGAACTTCACAAGTTCGATGCACCTGATGCTTAACTCTCCATATGTCTTTCTGAAAAACACTTCTATTTTTGGCTACTCTGTGGTGTTGGTGGGATTGTTCTGTCCCTGTTGAAATACTCTGGTTTTTATTTGAAGATGGACTCAACTACTCTTATTCTTGCTGACACTACATGGTTTTTGACTTGGTTTCTTTATGCTATGGATTGTTTTGCTCTGCACAACCCTATGGATTGTTTGTTTTTTTTGAAGACTGGTTCTTTGTTGAATAACCTGCACCTGGTCTCCTGATTTTACTCAGGCTTGTGGACAGGTAGGATGACCATTTTATGTCTAGGTTGATCTGTTGTACACACTCTTGCACCCGATTATCTGAATGTTACTCTTCTCCAGTTTCTCTGAATAATCTATATTTTTCCTTTGGCATTTTTTTCTAAAAGGGGGAGAAGAGGTTTGGAACCGGCCGAGTGTCAAGTGATTGTGTTTGTCAAAAATTGCCAAAGGGGGAGATTGTTAGTTCTATAATATTTCTATAATATGTATCCTATGAGTTGGCATCATTTTTGACAACACACAACCACTAGAATAGAATAGGTGTAGTGTCCTTATGTTAGTAGAACTAGTCATCCTACATATTAAGCTGCCGAAACTAGGATGCTCCATAGCAAGTCATTAGCTCAAAGAAGCACTTCTTTTCTTTCAAGGAATCTGGCTGCTCGAAGACTCCTACTAGACCTTGTTGACATAGGCGTGCGCAAGAGTCCTATAGGCAGTTGGTTAGGGCTACATCCTATGGAAGTTCATATATAAATAAGGGGTTAAACAGATGGTTGGGCGAACAAGAGAAAGAAGAGATATCAGGCTTACAAGAGAGAATATACTTGGCGTTCATCCATCACAGAGAAGAGTTTATCATATACATATACGTGAGGTCACCATGAGAAGATCAGCCGTGGATCTTCTCTGAAGTTTTTGTTCAGCTGGTGAATAGTGGAAGGCTAAGCAAAGGTCAAGACACATCCTTATTGCAGAGCGACGAGAAGGTGTAATAGGCCTGGTGTGACACAAACAGAGTTTGGTGTCTAATCACGTAGGTAGACAAATCTGTTCAATAGAAGGATCTGTTGAGATTGATTGTGTAATTCTTATGTTGATCTAGTGGAAAGGCTGTTACACGGATGTGGGTCTCGCAGACGTAGGAGAGTTAGCTCTGAACTGCGTAAACAAATCTCTGTGTTTTTATTTGCTTTGGTGTGTGTTTGAACCGGTGTTAGAAAAGGTGTTGTAGATTACTCTGAAGTAGAGTAGTTGTGCTACAACTCAATTTCCAACAACGTTCTGTTTGTGTTGAGTGTGAGTTTATCTGGTTTGTTTGCTGTGCTGCGTGTGTGGAAATTTCAATGTCTAGTGATAACGAACATTACTTGAATAATGACTATTAGATAATGACTAATGGTCCTACATTGAGAAATAAAAATATATGGTACTACATTAAAAAAGTTATTATATTTTAGTTCTATTTAGGTGAGTTCCCTTATTTCAAAAAAATAGCAAACATTTCAGATTATTAATTAATAATTAACCCAAGATTTTCAGGCCAAAGAATCAAGAATGAAACTATGAACAAAATCACGAAAATTGGTAACCGGAGGCTAGAGCAGTGGAGCATGCAGGCGGGTGGCATTGTCTGGTGGGGGCGGCGGTGACGCGGTGTCTCCTACACTCTGCATCTTTCTCTCTCAGTCTTTTCCATTTGACTTTGCCTTCAACGTTCTAGGAAGGGGCGGAAATTGACTCGAGATCCGCATTCCAGCTCTCCCAGGGAGGTCTTCCGCTGGGTCTCCAGAGCCACGCCGGCCGAGAATCCGGACGATACAGTGTCGAATTCCGTGACGGTGAGACAGGTGCCGTTGGCCGCGATGCTGTCCCCGAGGCCGACGCCTCCGAGGACGGTTTCGCGCTGATCTTCAAGGTGAAACTATCCGGATAGATTTTGCAGTGGTAGATTATCAAATGCATTTTAATTTGATCCTACTAAATGGGCGACATTACCACAAATATATTAATCCTTTCGGTAAATTTTATTTATAACACCTAAATTCATTTAAATGACATGGTTTTCACCTTTAATATATACATACACATTTTCAATATAGTGTAAATGTAAATTGCTACATTAAAATGTTTATACAGTGTCAAAAAAGACCATATTAAATGCCACACGTAATCATATAATGGCGATCATGCCAATGTATAAGGTCATACATGCGAATGCATAATGTTAAACAAATTAGATAGATAATGTCAACCTTGACATTATATAATGTAATTCTTGACAATGTATAATGAAAGATATGTCAATGCATAATGTCAAAAAGGAGTAAATGTCAAGAAATTCTACTATTTGCCAACACCATAATCATTCAGTTTCAATACGAATTTTACAAAAAAAATCCCTAAGAAGTAAATTCACAATTAAAAAGGAATGTCACCTCTTGTTTCAAATTGAACATAAAATTGAATTCAAACTTATCCATGTGGCTGAAAGAATTAGTACCAATTTGGTTGTGGATTCCCATGGATTCTTGATCGCAACGAGAGGTGACATTGAATGGATTCTTGATCGTCATGGATTCTTGATCGCAAGGAGAGTTGTTTGTGCGGCCAGGGCTAATAAAAACATATATTTAATTAATTACTCCTATTTAGAGGAGTTTAAGTTTGAACTACTATTTTCAGGATATGATCCATGTTTTACTCCTATTTAAGGGGGTTTTCATAAGAACATGGGAGTTATTGGTTTTTGAGAGAGTTAAGGGAAGTATATTTTGATATTGAATTTCTAAAAATATCCTTTAATGTGATAGGTAAAAATGAGATTTGATGGGTAAATTATTAGTAAAAATGTATGACGTGATAAGTATAATATGATATTAAAAAGTAAGGGGTAAAAGTGACTTTTTAATAGAAATAATAAGTGTTTTTTGGAACGGATGAAAAAAGAAAGGAGAAAGTTTTTCAGGGATGGAGGAAGTATTAAAAAATTAGGCCCCTTACATTGATGGCCCCGGTCTGAACAGGCTGTTTGTCACCCTATCGAGCTGGCCCTGTCAGTTCGGTACTTGGTCACCCCTTGTCATCTTTTGTTTTGTATATCTTTTGATGTTATTTTTAATGTAAATTTTATATATTTCTCTACACAAATTTTGTGATGAATTGAACTATTAATAGTTTTAGTCAAACATCATAAAGTGTAAAGAAAACCTATTTTGAGAGGGAGAGAGTATTTGTATTTGGGTTACAACATAGCAAGTAGAGCCATGTTAGAAATTTACCACGGTTGACACCATGAGTTACGATTATCTATGGTTTTGTATGCGAGCAGGCTACATAATAGTCGTCTCTGAACACATAGAATGCACAAACGGGTATCACCTATGTGTGTACTAATGCACAACGAAACACAATTTAGTTTTTCACATTTCGAGATCAAAGTTTGTAAAGTTTGAAAAAAAAATCAAATAAAAAGATTAAATTCAAACAGAAAAAGTAAGATTATATTTTTTTACCGGTATACCCTTTTGAATCGATGTCTCTAGAGATCCTTTTTTCTCCTCACGTATGTGTGTCGTAGGCTTGTAGTCACTATTTCTATTTTCAGAAACCCATTAATAATTGTTCCTTTTGTCTAAATAATTTTTTTATATTTGAAAAATTTTGTATTTAATGCATTTTGGACATTATTTTATCATATTAACATACACTAGCTTTATAAATATGATGAGTATGTATGTCTTGTGCTATGTAGGTTAATAATTAGGATTAATACTTTTGTCTCATTGTCTTGTCATTTTACTATTGCTTTATACTCTCTGGTCCTAAAAGTCTTTCTTGCTTTGACTTTTTTAAGCAAATAGTGACATTCCTTGACCACAAATTAAACATAATCTAAATAAATAAATGGTATAAAAATTTAATATATCAAAACTATATCTTAAGATGAACCCAAATTATATTAAATTTATATTATTATAATTAAATATGTTTTTCTCACAATTTATGGTCAAAGTGTGTTACTCTTTGACCAAAAAAAGTTAAAACGTGAAAGGTTTTTAGGACTCAAGAGAGTAATAAAGTAGTAAATGAAATGTGGAATACATTAGTACGAAGTAATGAATATGTATGTGATGTGATAGATAAGTTAATAGTTAATTAAGATAAATATGTAATTTTGATTGAAATATGTTAGACAACTAATTATGGTAGACTTTGTGTTTTAGCCACTGTTCTTGATTCCTAGTCCTATTTGGGATTGTGTTTGTTAGCTAATTATCGAGTAGGATTAGGATTACCCGAGATGTTCTAGTTCTAGTAGGAATAGAATTATGGGTTATAGGTTTAATTAGCTCTATATATATCTTAGCCAAGTTTGAGTTATGATATGAGAAACATATGAGAGTTTATTGTGATTGGTTTTGAGTAATTTTCCAGTTATAATAAAGAGATTGTTTCCAACAATTGGTATCAGAGCTTATAAAAATAGGAACAACAACAACTACGCATCTCTCTGTTAATCACCGATTGAATTAAGCTCTGGTTTCAATCTAGTTAATCCGAAGGACTGGATTAAATGGCTTCACCACAACAAAGGCCAATAAGAATCTCAAGATTGGAGATTAGGACCGCTGGTTATTGCATCAAGAAAGTCGTTCTTGATTGTCAAGGGGAAATATAAAAAAAAAACCAGCAGCAAGTCTCTTGCCGCTGCCATTGAGAAGGACACCGCCGCTTGGTCAACCAAGCGCCGCAGCAGAGGAGATCCTCAGGAGCGAAGGAGAGTCACCGTCGCGTCGAGCGCCTGGTTGTTCAACGCGAGAACGAGAAGTGTGTCGCCTAGGGTTTTTCGGATCTGTGCCTGCTCAGCCGCCGGGAAGGGAGATCTGAGGTCTGAGATTTCCGTTGTCCGATCTAAGAGCATCTGTTTTTCCGCTGGAGATCTAAAGGAGTCGGATCGCACACAGAGGAGATCTTGAAATTGACAATTTGATCGGATCCCGCCGTTGGTTCGAGAAGGAGAACCGCCACGCAGATCGCGAGTCGCCGTCGTCCAGGTAAAGGCAGCCGCACAGTAAGGAGCAGCCGCCGCCGTCTCCCAGTCGCGACTCCGTCATAAGTGCCTCTGCAATTCCGAATTGGTGCCGCTGCAATTTCGACTGTGCATCAGATCCCATGGCCAATAAAAAAAACGGCCAGAGTCAATTTTTGTCAGCCTCCTCTATTTTATTTTGTTGTGGTAGTGGATTAAACAAGTAGGTTTAATCAAATTACTCTAAAATACGAAAGTAGTGGATCCTGCTACACCACTCGTGACATACAGTAGACGCAAGGAAAAATATGACAGAATCTGAGACACCACAGCCGAAGGTTAAGGGAGTTGGGCTTACAGCTGTCCAATGTCCCATGCTAAACGCTACGAACTACACCGTATGGGCCATGAGAATGAAAGTCGTCTTAAGGGTTCATAAGGTGTGGGAAACGATTGAACCACGCGCAGCTGATGCCGAGAAGAATGATATGCCAACTGCACTGTTGTTTCAATCAATTCCAGAAAATCTGATATTGCAGGTAGGCAATGAGGAGACTGCGAAGGATCTGTGGGATGCAATCAAAACTCGTCACTTAGGGGCTGAGAGGGTTAGAGAAGCTCGTCTCCAAACCCTAAATGCAGAATTTGATAATTTGAAGATGCATTATTCAGAGTCAATTGATGATGTTGCTGAGAAGTTATCAAGTCTGGCCTCAAAATCCGTAGCCCTTGGAGAAGAGATCGAAGAGAAAAAGATGGTTAAGAAGTTTCTAAAGTCACTTCCTCGTTCGAAATACATCCATATAGTCGCCTCGTTGGAGCAAGTTCTAGATTTGAATAAACTAGGATTTCAAGAAACCATAGGCCGGTTAAAAGCCTACGGAGACCGAACCAAGGAAGAGGATATAGAAACACAGAGTAAACTATTATTCTCCAATGGTGAAAGCTCTCATTCTCAAAGGGGAGAAAACGGATCGAGAGGACAAAGCCGATGCCACCAAGGTCGAGGAAGAGACCAAGACCAGGATGATGATGACCAAGATGGAAGTCAATGCCGAGATGGTCAAGATCATGGGTCAAAGCCAACGGGTCAAAGAAGAACCAATGATCGTCAGAAGGGAAGAAAGGATATATCAAAGGTTCAGTGTTTTCGATGTGATAAATTCAGTCACTTTGCATCAGTGTGCTCGGAGCGTACGAAGAAACAAGAGGAAGCTAATTTAGCTGAAATTGATGTTCTGGATCCATCTTTGTTCATGATGAGATGTGATCAAGAGAATGTCTTTTTAAATGAAGAAGGGGTGATTCCAAAGTGTTTCGAGGTTGAACCAAAGGAGAAAGACATTTGGTATCTCGACAACGGAGCATCGAATCACATGACGGGTAATCAAGCTTACTTCTTTGAACTTAATGAACGTGTCACGGGAAAGGTGAAGTTTGGAGATGGATCTTGTATTGACATACGAGGAAAGGGATCTGTATTACTTGAAGGGAAAACAGGGGAGCAGCGCCTGTTGACCGATGTGTACTACATACCCAGCCTAGAAAGCAACATCATAAGTCTTGTTCAAGCAACAGAGGGTGGATGCGACATTCACATGAAGTGTGATTTGCTAACCATTCATGATGACACGGGGAAACTTATGATGAAGGTGAGAAGGACCAAGAATCGTTTGTACAAGATCAATCTCAAGATAACAAGTCCCAGTACACAAGCTAGCATGATTGGACTGAAGAATTTTGTGGGTAGGGATCTACAAAGAGTTGATCAACTGAAAGAAGGTACGTGAAGTACGAGTCAGAATCTTCTCGGAGATCTATGTTTAATGGAGAAACCCAAAATTCAAAGTCCAAAGAAGAATGTTCAAGAGTTTAAAGGAGATGTCAAGAAAAGGATTCTAACCCAAGGAAGGACGTGTAATGATCGCAAGGAGCAAGTGTTTGTTCAAGCTAAGTGGAGCGCGAAGAACACTGCAAGGGATCATGAAGAGCCTCAAGAGAATCAAGATAAAGAAGACATGCTTGGAGTTGAAGATCACCCGCAATCCAACTCGAAAATTAGGGGGGAGATTGTTGGCTAATTATCGAGTAGGATTAGGATTACCCGAGATGTTCTAGTTCTAGTAGGAATAGAATTATGGGTTTTAGGTTTAATTAGCTCTATATATATCTTAGCCAAGCTTGGGTTATGATATGAGAAACATATGAGAGTTTATTATAATTGGTTTTGAGTAATTTTCCAGTTATAATAAAGAGATTGTTTCCAACAGTGTTTCCTCTGTATATATACTCTCTCATGTATCTCTTATTTCCTTGATCAATACAATTTATCAATTGTTCCATTGTTTAATATGGTATCGGAACTTACGATCGATCTCATGGAGGAGATGAGGATAAGCAAGGCACCCAATGACTACCCGTGCTAAAAGTGGTATCTTTAAACCCAAAATCTTCTCCACCTCTCTTCATTCTTCTCTTTCTGACTCTTACCCAACATCATTTAAAGAGTCCTCCAAATAGGAGGTTTGACATCGTGCTATATACAGATGAAGAATATTCTGCTTTGATCAAACAGAACATATGGGTACTTGTTCCTAGACCTTTGGTTCGATCTCTGATTGGATGTAAGTGGATCCACAAAGTTAAAAAATGATGGATCTGTTTCGTGATACAAAGCCTGCCTTGTTGCAAAAGGCTACACTCAGAAGTATGGTCTGGATTATTCGGAGACTTTCCGTCTTGTTGTTAAACAACATACCATCCGTGTTGTTTTCTCTCTTTCTCTTCATTATGATTGGCCGCTTTGATAGCTCGATGCATGTCTCTAATGCTTTCTTACATGGTGAAATTGACAAAGACATTTATATGGCTCAACCTCCCGGTTATGTTGATTCTAGGTTTCCTCACCATGTTTTCAAGCTCACAAAATCTCTTTATGGGTTGAAGCATGCTCCGCGGGCTTGGTATGAGTGCCTATCTGCTTTTTTTCTTGCATATGACTTCCACAAGAATAAGCATGATACCAACCTTTTTATATCTCATGGGTCCACTTGCATGCTTATTTTACTTGTCTATGTTGATGATATCATTGTTACATGGAGCTCTTCTGTGCTTATTCAAAAATTTATTACTTGAATGTGTCATGAGTTTCAGACCAAAGACTTGGGTCCTCTTGATTATTTTTTTGGCCTGGAAGTTTCTAGTACCTCTTGTAACGATACAAAAAACGGCTTAGTAGTTAGCCACTATTTTTATATAAATAGATATTATTTAGTTATGTTGGAATTAATTCTTCTAATTAGTTAAATATGATTTTTGGATATTTTAATTGTACGAACGAGATTTTAGGATATGGTTTGTTAGAAACATTCTTTTGAAGATGCCAATATATTAGTTTTGACAATTTGACTCTAAATAAATGATTAGAACACAATTTGCAAGTATTATGTGAAAAATATATTTTTTCTCTTATCTGTCATAAAAATATGAGTAACTTATAACGTCAAAAGTATCTCATAAAATGGTGACCAACGGTATATAGTTTTTGGATTCAGACTTTTATGTAAAAAGTTATGACTAAAATAGATGCTACAATTCAATAAATAAATAAAAAAAAAGATTTTAATAGTTATAATAACAATAATGACAACAATAATAAAACACCTTACCTACTCCTAAATGGATATGAATTAGCCCAATATCCTCTCTTCTCAATTTTGTATATATGTATACGTATATAATCCCATCATGCCTAAGCCTCATCGTGGTAGTTTCGACCATCTTGTTCGCCCATCCCCGACCAGATCAGAGGAAGGGAAAATTCATCGGAACACATCATCTGAGACTTCACCGGGGAGGTACTACGCTAAGTAATTCGTAATCGAGGTGAGTACGTACGTGGACATCTAACACTAGACCATTCGCATAGGTTTGCAATTCGCATTCGTAATCTCGTATGATTGATTATGTGGAATTTGATAATTATTTGATTAGGATTTGAATTTTGATTTATTAAAAATATATGAAGTTATTGGAATTGATTGGCTGAGGAAGGCTAGGTACATGTTCTTATTCTAATTTGCGTGATTATGTGATAATAATCTCTAAAACTATTATACGTATTCAATAGCTGAGATTGTTGTTGGTATAAACTTTAATATGTAGAGATGTTAAAAATGAATGATTAGGCTACCTGGAGGAACTCTAGGCCTGCTGTAGTGTGAATGTAAGTGTAAATGTCAATATGTAGAATCAGTCTTGCAGATCTGATATCTGAAGGCTATGAGTTAAAACGTTCGTGCGTGATCCACAAATTGTCATTCCAAAGGGGATAGGGATACCGCCCACCTAGCAAAGAACTTCTTCGTTGGCAAATTATTGTTGTATCTGAAGGCTATGGGTTAAAATGTTCGTGCGCGATCCACAAATTGTCATTCCAAAGGGGACAGGGATACCACCCACCTAGCAGAGAACTTCTTCGTTGGCAAATTATTGTTGTGTTGTAATGTGTCAACTAAAGTAGACTTGAGTCATGACCGTATGTAGTGACTCTAAGTCCTAAGATAAGATTGTGAATAAGGATGTGTTTGGCTGCAGTCGAGAATATAAATTAATAGAAACTAATAAGGATGAATTAGGATTATGATTTGAGACTTAAGAGTTCATTTGATAATTGTTATGTAACACCCCGGCCCACACCCTGGCCGTAAGCGTCCGCTCATAGGATTGTAGACTGGCCCCACAAACCAACACAAGTCTTTCCCGCACACTTTGTCTTCACTTGTGAGCGCCCAAGGAAACTTCCCATGGGGTCACCCATCCTAGAATTGCTCCATGTCAAACACGCTTAACTTTGGAATTTCTAGGCGATGAGCTCTCGAAAAGAAGATGTACCTTGTTGATATGCGTAGTACTATCAATCCTTTTGAGCTCTTCACATTCCCCTCTTAATACGGGGTATTACATTCACCCCCATTTAGTAATGCAACATCCTCGTTGCATCCTTTGTTTTTTAAACCATTAGATCTTCCCCGCTAGGTGAACTAAGCTCTTTTGGCCTGTCACGGTCGCAAGGTTGCTCTGATACCATTTGTAACACCCCGACCCACCTTGGCCGTAAGCGTCCGCTCATAGGATTGTAGACTGGCCCCACAAACCAACACAAGTCTTTCCCGCACAATTTGTCCGCACTCGTGCGCGCCCAAGGAAACTTCTCAGGTGGTCACCTATCCTAG